AGCCAAGTTCCCAGATACCATTCTGGTGCACCTGGCTGACCCTCCAATGTATAGAGAGTTTACCGCAGCGAGATGAACATGAATTATTCGACTACCCCCCTGCTTGCTACTCGCAAAGAGGCAAGCGATTCCGCCAAGCTTGCTTGGCAGAACCAGCACGGTGACCAATCCAAGCCCTTGAGGATATGCCTTGGCCACACGAGACTGTTATCATTTTGGTTCTTGGTTTTGATTTCAAGTAGCGCGGGGGCAGGCAGCGGCTCGTCATCTGCCACCTTTCTCAAACCCGAACATAGCACCACCACACAGGCACTCCTCAGGCTTCCATTGCCCGATGAGACTATGACTCAGAGAGAAGCATTTTACCACAATATGTATCCCACCGAATTTGAAAACTCGAGAGAGCAGGTGGACATACCGCGCGACTTGTATGGGCAGCCGTTGCGTGGTACGCTACGGTACTGCTTGCCTCTCAAATACGGCTCATCTTTTCTCGCCTTGCACCACGCGCCCGCTGCTCACTGGAGTGGCCCCGGCCCCGGAAACCCCGGCCGTCAAATCTACAGCGTCTGTCGCACCCTGGGCGACCGCGCTTGTTGCTGCTCTGGATGCGCGCCGCAGAACTGCTGGGGCTCGACGGTCGTGCGCGCCTCGTACCAAGATGACGAGAAATTCGAGCGCGCCGTGGCTGCTATCCGTCGTCTGGCGCTCGTCACTGTCGACTATGACGAGTCCCTACCTCGAGGTGAAGAGGCTTCACCTTGCGTCAAGCGGGCGAAACTCGCAGCAGAGCCTGAGGAGGAGCTTGATGAAGGTCGCGTGTTGGCTGACAGAACCAATGAAATGAACTGGTTGCAGCTTGTCAACGACGTGCAAGCCCGGCAGTCTGACCCGACAGAGGCACTCACAACGGACCAGATTGTCAGCGAGGAATTCAAGTACCGGTTCCATACCACGGTCATCCAGGACAAGGACCTGCTCGATCATGCAGAACCCGAAAAAGCTGAGGAGTACTTCCAGGCCAAAGGCTGGGAGGAGCGCGAGTCGGGCGCTCGCTCGGCTTTCTTCATGTACCTCGACGATGAGACGATTGACCACTTAGCCGGCGCTCCCGACGATCAGGCACTCGCTAGGATGACCATCGATGAGCGCTGCCGCATTGCATGGAACTACTGGGTCAAGATTGTGGAGCCGATGGCCCCGGAAATTGAGGACGATGAGAGCGGTGATGAGGACAGGGAGGCGTTCTTGGAAGTCGAGGACAGCCAGGGACGCAGGAGCCGAAAGAGACGCATCCGTCTCCTCTGTCTCCTCTCACTTTATCTGGCTTCGAAGGACTACTCGTTCGATGAGATTCCCAATGAAGGAGCCGACTGCACACGGTATGCGAACCCTCAGGACGAGACGAAGGCTTGGTGCTTCGTCTCGGGCATATCATGCGAGACGCCGCCCATGATTCACGGCTGGCTCACTGAGATATACGGCTACAAGGAGAGGAAAACTTTGCCGCAAACCCCGTACAGGCCTGAAACGCCAGCTTTTCTTGAGGATCTTCGCATCTGGAGAGAGAACCGCACCAGGAAAAAGGCTGAGGCCGCGCTGACCAGACCGCCTGCTCCCGAGTCGTCCTTTGCTGTCTTTCGCCATCTGCTGCAGCCGCATTGGGAGAGAACAGGCCCCTTGAAGCCAGGCCTAAGGATTCGGCAATATTTTGCAACAATGAATGACAATTTTGTCTACTGTGCCGACTGCAAGCCACAAAACTGCTGGGGCTCGACCATCGTGCGAGCCACGTACAGAGAGGGCAACGATGCGCGCTTCAAACGGGCCGTCGCGGCCATCCGCCGGCTGACACTCGTCTCGGTAGACCATGACGATGAAGCACCACACCTGGATTCTCCTGATGAGAATGTGCCTGTACCTCGACGAAGACTGGTTCGCGAAAACGAAGTGGACCAGCAGACCCTCGAGACTCACTGGCGAGAAGCCGCCCGTGAGATCCGGCAGCGGGGCCCGCCCAGATTTCTGAAGACGGATCAGATACTGAGCGAAGAGTTCAGGTACCGGTTTCACAACATCGTGGTCGAAGACCAGACTTTGCTCGGTGGAGGTGATGTCAAACAGGCACGCCTATTCTATCGCGAGTCTGGGAGCTATGGCGCGCGAGAATCATCCAAACCTGCGCAGTAAATTCTTCATCTTTCTGGACGAAGAAACTCTGAATCACCTCTCAGATGTTCCTAGTGACGATGAACTTGATACGATGACGCTCGAAGAAAGGTGTCGCATCGCTTCTCGTGATTGGGTTAAGGTTGTTAGCCCCTTGGCCGAGGATCTCGGCAAGACTGAGGACGACACGAAGCAAGCAGCTGGTAGGAGGAGAATTCGCCTGATTAATATTCTTCCAGTCTATATGAGGCTTTTGGCTGTCACCGGACTAGAGGAAGTCAAGTTGGAGGAGGTTGCTCGTGAGGATGAGACCGAGGGCCTCGCCAAACAGTGGTGTCTGATCGAGGGCTATGATGCTCTTCTAGAAGAGGACATTGCTTAAATTCTTCTCTTACATCCATGCCGGCGGTTTCATCGCTATTTTGAGCATTGCGGAGTGAAATCTGGCGATACGGAGAAGTGGAAGTGATAAATCGAAAGTCAAACGGGTGTAGCAGTTTTCCACGTGGCGACCTGAGCCGACAGTTATAATTCCTGCCATCAGTAGGCCTCCCTCAGCTACAGTACATCAAAAGGGCCTTTGAAGTTGATGCAAAGTAAGACACGTATGTGCAGCTAGAGGGCAGTGGTAAGAATCTTAGTATGGGCAAGGAGTGAGACCGAACTTAAAATAAAGTCAACCTCTTGCATCTTTCGAAAACGTTGTTAGCATGCAAGATATTATCCGCGCTGCATGCCTTGAGTTCTCGTTTCCACCAGTGTAGGCCTGGTGATGGTACTAGCGGGCTTGTGTCTGCCTAGACACAAGTAACACGGCACGTCAGCCATCAGTGAGCTTCGCCTGAATGAGCTAGCCAGCCAAAAGCCCAGGCCCTCTAATACCCCTCCGCACTGTTATTCGGCGTGCAGCCACCCCGATTGTGATCATGTCTGGCTACTCAATGAGTGCAACAGCTTTGAGCCGGACTGCGCGAATTGCTGACTCTGTTTTGAGCTGGTCGGCAGTGACGGAGAAGGACATCGCTTATACCAGTCAAGTGAGACCAAAACAAGAGTTGTCCAGACCTTAAGAACACAGATATCAGTGGTTGGGTGTTGGGGACGGACGAAACCCACACCAACCACATGAAAGCAACGTCCAGCGGCAAGATCTGTGTTCCAAATGCCCAGACCACTTCGATTCGTTCATTGTTAACGACCCTCACCACCATGACGATCACATCCACTACTAAAAATGTGAAAAGCTCAAAAATACAAAACATACAACATCAGGGATTCGCTGGTGGTCACCCACCCAACTACTAGTCCGACCCTTACTGGCTTATCTATGGGAGAGCGGACGGGATCCCGAGTTCTCCAGTAGGTATGGTCGTATGTGGCATAATGCAGTGTTGTCTGTAATCATATTCCAAAAGTGTCACCCTTGTGTATCGTCTTGTATTTACATCCTTTCCAGTCGCAAGTGTCCTGCAATGCATCAGAAAACTTAGATCTCCTCTTTGGAATGGGTGATGTATAAATACCTTGTACACGTCTGTTCCCCACCACGCAAAGTCATTTGCTGCGCCAGTGTAAAAGATGGCGAAGAAGATTATCACTCCAGCGATGGCGACTGAGCAGTCCAGTGCCGAGCTCAGCACGAAGTTGTATCGCCTCCACCAGTTTCTGTCTTTCCTCTTGAGCCAAAGCCCAAACACCAGCCCGACGATGGCCCAGCTCCCGTAATTGGTACCTGAAGCTGGCGGGATGTAATTCAGTCCACCCAGGAACACTGGGACATGAATCTTCCGTAGCCAGCGCGTGCGAGGAAACAGATACTTCTTGAGTGCCCACACAGCAATGGGCAGCAGAGCACCCAGGGAGAAACATCCATAGTAACTGCCTGTAGTGGGCCCCTGGTGCGAAGAACCGACGCGGACCGAGGGCTCCCCAGACCATACTAGTGTTGAAGTGTGTGCGTGAAAACGGACACGTGAAGCCGTTGGGGGCTGCATCGGTGCAAATGTGAGGGATGTGTTCTAGAGCCCAGTTCAATGTTGAGACCTGGCCAAGAGTGCCCATGACGATGCCGACAGTTTGAACAAGAAAGAGCTTGCGCGGCGGAATATTGCAGTAGATCCCGAGCTTGAGGTCCTGAGCGAAGGCGAGACCCTTGATGCCCGATATGTATCCCAGATTGAAGAACCATATGTTAGCGAGCACTTTGCCTTCGTAGACATAGCCGGCAACGATACGACAGAAGATATCGATCTGGATTTTGACATTGGCTGTGGCATATACCAGAGCAAGCTTGGCATGTCAGTACGATCTCAATGCAACTTTTCAGTTTTCCGCAGTGAACTTACTGGGACATAGAAGACCGCGCATATGATCAGGGCAAGCAAGACACCATGCCACCTTAACTGTACGGGATAGTACTCGCATGAGAACAAACCCAGACCAAGAGATAGCAGCATCGACACTAGATACCACCATGCGGGGACAGTCTTGTAAGCCGGCTGGAGGTTCAAGCTCGGTCTCGGGCGGCGCTTGAATAGAGACGATAATGACGACGCCTGGAAGATGGCGATGATGTTGTGGCGCCGCTCCAAATACAGCCAAATGAACAGTGATGATATTGTAGCAAACGAGAGTCCGAAGGGTTGAGCGCGTAAGTGACAGGCAGGTAGATCTAAAAAAAGTTTATTTCAATGCACTTCGACGCAGGAGCTGGCAGCTTGACCGACCTCTGAATACTCATCAAACTTGGTACTATTGAAGCTGAAGCCGAGCTTCTTATCGATAACACGAGAGACATTGTAGACAGCGCCGGTGTTGTCGTACACAGAGTTACTCTGGATGGGGAGGTAGGCAGAAGACCACTTGTTGCTGTAGTATATTGCAGGCGAAACGACGTAGATCCAGAAGATGAGCGATGCGAGGACATTGAGAATCGCCCAGGTCGGCACAACCAAAGGAGAACCAATGTAAGCAATTTGACTCCCTACAACACACTCAATACTAGTTCCGTTGAAAGATTAAGGGAAAGGACTTACAGTCAAAGGTGACAGGCAATATGCCTAGCCCACTCTTCATGCCAAAGATTTGGTTGACTACAGCGTTGTTCGGTGCAGCCCAGCAGATGAAAGTGAAGTAGCCTAGAGCTGGAAAGATGAAGTCTGGAAACCAGTACCAGCAAAAGGATACGCAAAAAGCAATCATGAAAAATCGATAGCGAGACATCTTGAATCCGGTGCTTTGAATATCATCCGGTCAGTGTTGATATGGATTCGTAGATTGCGGCGACGTACTGTGGGTCCACTGCGTTCTTTCTGGAGTGGAGGGTATGGTTCAGGGCAGTATTACCAAGAACTCCGGGCCACACAAGGCTAGCTGGCTCTACGACGAGTGAACGAAATATGCCGGCTAGACTGAAGCCGAAAAGAATGGTGGCAAGCGTCATGGTCAGCTCGAAGCCCCATCCTGCTTTGAGACCATAGAAAACACGCTGCTCGGTGAGGACGTCTGCGCTCAATCGAGTGAGGAAGCTGAGATTTGCAAGTATATAAATGAGAATGTTTTCCTTGAACCCATTAGCAATGCTGCCCGTGATTGCCCGGATGCTGAAATACCTTGTAATTGAAAGGTCCGGGATTAAGAGATATGTGGTGCCCGAAAGCACTGATACCCCAGTCTGGAATAGAATACTCCCAGGCTTTTCCTACAGGAAACGCCAAAAATTGAATTGCCGATTGTGAGAGAGAAATCGAGGGAAAACGGAAAGTGTACAGAGTGTTCAGACCGCTCCCGAGAAGGCAAAAGGCGATCCCGATGACCCACATGCGAATGGTCAGGCAAGGAAGCGTTGGGTCATCCTTCTCGAGGCCGATACCTGCAGCGAACAACACGTCTTCACTGGGAGCACTGCTTTCATCTGGGAAATGTCAGTGCCGCTCCAGGGCTGAATTGCGCAGTGAAAGGGCTGACCAGAGGGGCGCTTAGCCTGTTCAGGTCCACGCTCAAGCCCCTGACTCAGTGGCACCGTCGTGACACTGGTGTTTGGCATACCCTTCGCTTCCTCCATTCTCTGGAAGAGTAGTGGCTAGAGTGTGAGAGAACTGAAAAAAGGTAAGACGATCGATCTGATTAGATTTTTCGAGAAGTTGAATCTGATAAGCTTCTATATGCAGAATGCATGGACCCGAGCCGGAGTTGCGGGACACGGAGCTCCGCTTTCACGGCAGCCCAGGCCGGAACTCGGCAAAGAGCGTCGTCAGCTACCACATCTTCCCGTGGCTATTTTTCAGTACTTGAACTCGCGGACTGGCACATGCGAAGCATCGCGTCGCGGCCTTTTGAAGCGAAGTGCTGAATCGCGTGTTCCAACATGCGCCATAACCCACATCGGTGCCAGCAGCTGTGCTTGGCATAACTTGTAACTCGGATTCTCGGGATCTGTCCAGCAATATGAGGCTAGGCTTCTAGGAGTCAGGTCGATTCTTTTTGCGTCAATAAAAATATGTGCCGTGATGGCGAGGAGAAGAACAGCCCAACACTTTGTAAGGTGCCCGAAAAGCTCCGATGACCGAGGGCTAGATGAACTACCCTATCAACTGCGACGCATGATTCAAGGTCATTACTCCATGGAGGAATTTCGCTCTATCAATCATATCAAAATGTGAATGTCATTGGAGATGGATATGGGAGAGGAGGGTGGTAATGTCGAAGGTGGTTCTTTTATTCAGGTTCGTCTTTTCTTTGTTGTGCCAGCCCTGACACCATATCATACGTTGTGATTATGTCAGAACTAAAGCCCTAATATTTCCTGCTTAACATCAGATAGTCTTTTCTCTGATAGAGCTTGAAAGATGAAGATACTTCGGAATTAAATGGACCGAGGGCGTAGGGTCAATCCAAGCATTTATCGACTCATGACAACGCTGAAGTCTATGCTTTCGCGCTACGGGCCGGATGATACTAATTTACAGCATTATTCATAGCTATCTACCTTGGCGAGATGCTTGAACAAATAACCTTAGGTTTGTGAAGATTAGCAGAGAATGAACACATTATTTTCGCGGGAAAAACACTCACATGGCCATATGATCCCCAGCAGGGGTTGGGGTCGTTCAATGGTTCTGTTGATGGATATCAGACACTGAGGATCCGAACAAACGCAGGAATGATTGCAGATAGCCGAATTTATATTCAATGTGGAAGCTGATTAGCTGTATTATTCTTAACCTTAACTAAATTACGAATCCGGTACCTGGGCGACCTTCGAAAGTCCCCCATCAACCAAGGAGGTTTATCACGGCCGAACTGGTAACCGTGGGCGAGTCGAAGGCAATAAAGATTTTACTTCAAGCAAGAAAGAGAGCGGTACCAAGAAGAGCTGCCAAAATGGGGACACTCATAGCAGCCAGTTTCGTGACCGCCTCATCCTTCTCCGGGCACTCGGCAGGAGAATTCAAGCCTCGGCACCTCTTCGCAAGATCCACAGCCTCCATACTTTCTACTACGGACGTTTCAATCTTGACGCGGCAGGTATTCGAAGTCGATGTTGGCGATGGTGATGCCAGCACTGCGCAAGTTCCTGACTCTTGGCGTCCATTGGTCCAGCCAGAATATTCACGTGCATCGGTAGTCACGTTGATCGCAACCCCTTGATTAGGACAGTCATTGCTATCACCAGCCGTGCCAGCAACGAGATCGGCCTTTTGCCCACCATTTTTGACTTCGATATCAACCCAAAAGTTTTCAGTGCGATTTCGCACACGCTTGTCGTAGCTGCTAATCTCCTCGCACGCGGACCAGAACGCTTGCCAGATCACGCGGATCTGGCCCTCGCCGCTGACCTTGAAATGGCTCCAGAAAAGATAGGGCTCGTTCTCCGAGACGTTGCCCCAGCGGAGTTCGTGCATCCGATCGCTGAGGACTTCAATGTCCGAGGTTGATTTTGTTAAGTTGAGGACACGAAGCGAGATGGTGGGCTCAAGATATTCGGCTTGCTTGACATTCTGGAGCGCAAAGACAAGTGGAAACTCATCCGTTGGCTCACACGTCTCGTTTGCGCGTGGGTAGACCAGGCCGATGTCCAGCAAGTCAGCGGCATTGGCAATGGCCCCAGGGTAGACAGCCGCGCCCAGGAGGGACCACATGGAGTGGGAAGCGGGAAGGATGGTGGTGGTGGTCGCGATCGTTATGTGTGGCTGTGTTGCTGTCAAAGTTCAGAATTCAAGGGGTAAGCGATAAACAGAGGCAACTTCATGTAGGGCCCTGGGCCCGATCGGTCCAGGAGCCTCTATTGCGGCCTGGCCGCCTTGGCCATCTTGGCAACATGCCGTGTCCCGGTGCCTCGGTGTGTCTGACGTCGAAGGATTACAGTGCTATATGAACGACATAACAAACACTCCACACCCGAATGGGGAACGTGTAATGGACTGTCGAGCCCTTTTGGCATTCAGAAACATCTGTCCCAGAAAGTGTAAGGAGAACACTATTGAACCCCACCGGAACTACACCCGCATGTTTAATGCCTTCCTGTCTATTAAGTCTTCCTGCTAGGTTTTTTCCTTGGTACATCTGTTTCGTCCACAAATAGACTCTAGGCAGTTTGCGAAGCCTTTCAGGGGTGACATGTCCAATTCATTCTGTTGACGAGACCGAGAAGGGCAGCAAAGAGGGAATTTCTTTCCTGACCGCAAGCTACATGGGTGAAGAACTGGATTGATATTGCTTGCATTACTTCATGCAAGGTTCTCTAGCGTTTCAAGCTACTCACTGAGGTTTTCATACATCATCTCGAACGCTGCTTGATTGACACCTTGGAAATAACTACTACGTCGAGCAATTCCGACAACAGTCCCCACCTTACCTACACCTTGTAGTTACACGACTACCCTCGACCATATTAACAACAAGTTCAGAGGCCGTCAACGAGCGGGCTCAGACCCCGAGCAGATCCGATACGATCCTCAAGGAAGAAGCGCAGCCTCTCAACCCTCCCGCGATCCGCCATGAAGCGACCAAAAGCCGCAGGGTTTGTCGACGGGATATCCTTTAGCGGTAGCTGCGAGAAGTTTTCCGCCACTGGCACATCATGGCGAACAGGCCAGCCCATTATCTGCTGGAACTCGGGCGATAGCACAAAGGAGTGCAGCAGCTTGGCACTCTCGGGGTGGGGCGCGTCCTTGAGGATGGCGGCGGTCTGCGGCCACGACACAAACTGGGTCTGGGTGGGAAGCGAGTATTTGGAGCCTGGAACGGCGGCGAAGCCAGCGAAGCTCGTGAAGGTTGCCGCCTCAGTGCAATTCGGGGTCAGGGTCAGGGTAACGGGGGTCCCAGTGCCGCGGACCCAGCGGGGGTTCTGTGCGAGAAGGGCATCCAGCCACTCTATGCCGTGCCTTTGTAGGCTGTGATTTCAATGTCAGACTTCGCGCGTTTTCCAATTGACTTGGAGAGTATGTAGCCAGGGTAGTGGTGCGACTTACATGAGGTCAAAGGCAAACAAGACAGCGTCGTCGTCGTTGGGATAGGTCAGCACGATCTTGTTCTTCAGTTCGGGCCTCAGAAAGTCGTCAAATTCGCTGATCGTAATGTTGGGCAGCTTGGAGGGGCTCCAAAACAACTGCCAGGCAAGATGGTAGACACCGTAGTATGCCGCGGTTGCGACGTTCTTGTATGCGCCGTCAATTGCATCAAAGCCGAGTGGAGCGTACTTAAGAAGCGCGCCTTGGTTTTCCCAGCGGGGAAAATCGTGGAGTGTCTGGAGGATAACGCTGTCGACATGGACGTTGCTATTGGCGAGCTGCTCGTCCAGTCGGCCGTCGTGGTACTTTGATAGATCAACGGTAATGTTTAGCGTCATGCCGGGGAATCTTTCTTCGAATATTTGCTTCAGAAAGCCTTGCTGGTTTGGCTCATCGCCTCCATGCCAGCAGTTGACGACTCCACCTTCGGCAAGGGCAGCTTTGTGTATCTCTTCGAGGGTCCTGTTCTCGATTTCGGGCACACTGTCGAAGGCGAACAGATTGTCGTAGGCAAAGACATTGGTGGTTGCTGCCAGGATAGGCAGACCACAGCTTGGAGCAACCATGATGGATATGACAGAAGGGGAAATTTTGACTCAATATCAGACGGAGTCCGAGAAGCTGCATGAGAGAGAGAGCTTCAGATCTTCAGACGATCAAGCGTCCTCATGGACGTCTCTGGTTTATAAAGCTCCCTCGATGCTGGCATCCTGTTGGCGTCCAGTCTCACAGCAATATCTCCGAGCATCCGCATTGCACCGAGTGTGAACTTTGGTAGTGTTTGCCCCTGCCGATTCAATTTGAGCGATCCCGAGAATTGTGTTGTAGTTTGGAGGTTTCCGAGGCCGTTCCGCAGCTTTACGTTATGCCCGATTAGGGTACCGCGCGGTTGAAGACAAAGTTCGTCAGCACACTGGGCCTGATGCTAACTACTCTGTGGTGAACGTCTGCGCTGATTGATAATGTAAAGACTGGGGTAGAGAGCTAGCGGCCAAATCTAAGCGCTTTCGGGTATCGCTCGAGGCATGGTGAAGCACAACATGACAGCGGCATCTAGCTGTGACACGTTGCCCGGCCAAGGGGAGATTCGAGGCTAGCCTTATTCGCAAGGGCGTCACCAGCTGAAGCAACCTGGATAAGCTTGTTCGAGATACGGCTGTCGGAATGGAAAGAAGTTCAACGCAAGGGCAGGGCAGCCTTGCCAGAATGGTGAGGGACCTCGGTGTGGTGGTGGCTCAGAGAACACGTAACCTCACCCGTCGGTGGATTCCAAGGTTTGATCGCAGAGATAAAATTCTGGCAGTTCACAGCTGCCGAACTCCAGTTTGACAGGACGCTGGCTTCTCGGCATTGGCAAGGTGGATGTCTGTATTTTTCTCCGCAGGGAATTCCGCTTTTGGAGGTGAGGCATGCTCGCGCAAAGATGGCTATGCGAGGTGCAAGAGGGATAAAGTGAGCAATATGCCTTCTTCCATGACAGACAGGAACGTTTGTGGTTGGGATAAGACCACTGTGACGAGGTTCTGGCCGGCAGGTGCCAAGGTGACATTGTGACAAATGCTGTGAATCGATCTCACCCATGTTCAGATTCGCTCGACTTGGCTTGCTTGCTGCACGACAGCAACAGTCTTCGCATCCCTGTCGCACGTGATAGATTGAGCCATGTCGCCATGACACGAGCCGATGTTGCCGACTACGCAAAAACTGATCCAGCTGACCTGCTCGAAGGGTCAATTGGCATCAAGGAAATAAGGTACTTGAGTTGAGGTACCTGACTTGCCTGAGGACCTCAAGTACAATGAACAGACGCAGACCCTTGCAGAACCCCCAAAAGTCTGCACCCCCGCCGAGCATGTGCTCTGATAAGGTGAGGGCCAGGCACGTACCCTAGGGGGTGACGTCGTTGGCGTGTCACACAGCCGCAGGCCAGGGCAAGCTCGTGCCAATGAACCCTCCCAAAGCGCCCCAGGCGCCCCCCCATTCCAGGGACCTGCTGACGCTGGCGGAGGTAGCACTGCGTGACCCTTATCTGGAGGCTTTAGCTTCGGAAGCTTCACCAGGACTTGTTGCTTCCTCCAACACCCATCGTCAAGCTGTGCATCCGGATTGCACTGCACAACACAAGATGGTATGTCAGCCAAATCGCACCTGTTGATGTCTGCAAAACTGACACGCTCATTCCTAGGCCGCTCAAGCAGCACCAAACGACCGAACTCCCCTCCTCGACGACACGGAACGTCGTGAGAATATCAACGATGACTCCGAGTCCAACTCCGATAACGGCCACTCCCCTTCATCAGGCGGATCGAACCGACTGCGTGAGGTTCTCCTCTTCGTCTGGGCCCTGTTAGCGACTGCTGCCGTGATCGTCCTCGCGGTGTGGAGCCAGCATAACCGCCAGACGGGACATGGAACTGGTCCGACGCCGGAAAAGCGAAACCTCATCTTCATGGTCTCCGACGGCATGGCCCTGCTTCCTTGTCCCTGACCGCGAAGCTTCCGTCAGCACGTCGAGGGTCTTTCCGAGGATGACACTCTGACGCTTGACAAGCACTTTTGGGGCACCAGCCCGCACGCGCTCCTTCAACTCGCTCGTCACCGACAGCGCGCGGTGCACGGCCTTCTCGTGCGGCAAGAAAGAGCTACAACGGCGCCATCTCATCACGCCCGAGTACGAGCCCTGCGGCACCGTTCTCGAGGCTGGCAAGAGGGCCGGCTATGCGACGGGGCTGGTCGTGACCACCGACATCACCGACGGCACGCCTGCCTGCTTCGCCAGCATGTTCTGACCCGCGCCATGAACGATGACATTGCCCTGCAGGAGGTTGGTGATGGCCCCCTCGGGCGTGTTGTCGACCTGATGCTTGGCGGTGGCCGCTGCCATTTCCTGCCCAACGGCACCGCCGACAGCTGTCGCCTAGACGAAACCGATGTTGTCAAGATCGCACAGGAGAAGTACAACTGGACGTATGCGAGCGACCGAGCGGGATTCGACGCCCTCAAGCTTGGCGAGAACGTTCAGCTGCCGGCCCTTGGCTTATTTGCCCACTACAATGTTCCCTTTGAGATTGACCGCCGCAACCTCGATCACATTTACCCCAGCTTGACCGAGATGACCCACACTGCGCTCCGCGCGCTGGAGAAAGAGACGGAGCACAGTGACCACGGCTTCTTCCTCATGATTGAAGGCAGCAGGATTGACCACGCCGGACACATTAACGATCCCGCGGCTCAGGTCCACGAGGTTCTGCAGTACGATGCTGCCTTCCAGGCCGTGCTTGACTTTATCGAGAAGAGCGAAACCGAAACAATTCTGGTAGCCACGAGCGATCACGAGACGGGCGGTCTCGGTACTGCTCTACGTATGTGCTCCTGTCTTGCTTTTTGATGCTGCATGCCGTGACTGACAACTTCACAGAGGAGCCTGGACACCTTCCCGTCTATAACTGGTTCCCCCGCGCCCTTGCCAAGGCCAATGCTTCGTCCGAGTTCCTGTCCCTGCAGCTTGCCAAGCACATTGCCGAGAACCCGGGCGAGCACATGGGAAAGCTCAGGAGCTGGGTCAACGAGACGCTCATCTACGGCGGTCTCGGCATCACAGACGTGCACCCTGAAGAGCTCGACGCTCTCGTTGAGGCGCCCCTTGCCGCGATCACAACCTTCGCTGCCATCATCAGCCTGCGGGCGCACGTGGGCTGGAGCACGCACGGACATACGGCCGTCGATGTCAACATTTACAGCTCGGGTGGGCGCGACACGGAAAAGATCCGCGGGAACGTCGAGAACACGGACGTTGGCAAGTTCCTGCGTGACTGGCTCGACCTCGACGTCGCGCCCATTACCGAAGAGCTGAAGTCCAAGCTCGGCAAGGTGAATAGGAACGATCTCGCGGCCATGGATGCCGTTTCGGGTAGGCCCGCAGAGGCGGCGGCCGCGGGCGAGGTGCCACAACATTGGATGGAACAGCATATGCGCGAGGTGGCGGCGATCTAAACAGTGAGATGCATAGCAAGAAGCCCCAGCGAGCGAATCATGACACGGCACTTTTTGGCGTTTCATTTTCAAATCATTTTCTGGGTCGGGTTGTTTTAGAGCCTGACGTGTGTGAGTTCCTACGTACGTGCGCGCGTAGCAGCCAATTTTAGCCTTTTCGATCTGGCATTCTGGATCGGACGTTCCAATGCGAAACCAGGTTTTAGGAGGCCCGCTGTCGAGACATCAGAGACATGACGCATGCTTGTATTCTGCAGCGTTGCCTGGTATAGTGATGCATCACTTTCTTCATGGATATGCGCCGCGCCCGCGGGGGGGGGGGGGAACTATTATCATGTGCCCGTGGGCTTGATCCTACTGCCATGGCGTGTGTTGCGGCCGGAGAAGTGAGTCAGTGTGGGAGATCTTTGGCGGTGACTCAACCTCGGAATCTTGGGCCGATGCTCAAACGGCTTCATCTTGATGGGACTCTGTCGGTGCTTCCTTTCTTTCTATGATACATGTTTGCCCTATTTTTTGTCATCACGCAAGTTTCGATCGATTCTCAGAAGACAGTCTGCGAATACAAAATCCGCGAGACCGGCATTCCTCTTGTCATTAAAGCCACAGCAACAGCAGCAGCAGTAGAAGAAGCGTGCATGAAGAAACAGACATTCACGTATCAGACCACCACCACCACCCCACGACTTCACATGTCAATACATTGACACACCACGACGAAACGCAACCACCAAACTGTTCTCCATCTCACACTCAACTTGCGCCCGTCTCCCATTTCTCAAGGCACTTTTTTTTCATTTTTCTCAAAGGCACTCTTTTTCAAGGGCACTCTTTTCCAACCAATACAACACATTGCAGCTCTTCTCCGTCTTCAGCAGACCACACAATTCACAATGAAGGCCATCCGCACCCTGACCTCGCCCAAATCCTCCCCACGCCTCCCTGCGACAGCGACGATCCCCGCATCCCGCCGCTCGTTCCACAACACGCCGCAGGAATCCTCCTCCTCGCAGCTCTCCACGCACCAACACCCCTACCACCAGCGCCCCAAGCACGACACGGGCAAGATGTCCTACAGCTCCAGCTCCAGCTCCAGCTCCAGCTCCAGCTCGTCGTCAAGAACGGCCGACGGCATCGTCTTCGACGAGGACGTCATTGAAGAGCTGAGACCCATCTTCGCCGAGCGCGCGAGAGCAGGCGAGGGCAGGACGGGCAAGGGGCAGCAGATGCGAGGCATGGGCACTGGGCAGGGTGCCGAGTGGGTTTGGTGATTGCCGCTTCAGCCTGTCTGTCCCCTTCCTGCCCCTTTGTCTCGGGGGTCGTGTGCAGAACTCCTTTATTTCTTGTTTTCTCTTTTTGTTCTCATTGCTATGGGTTTCCAATGTAAGCGACGGGCTGGACTTCGTCAGGCGTTCAAAACAAGGGCGTGGCGGGGGTGGGCGTTTTATTCATGTCGCTTGCCGACGAGGCTGGCGGCTTTTTACGATCATGGAACGGACGCAAAATGTCGCCGATGCAATTGGCTATGGGGAGAGCATAGCACGCTGCCTAGGACAGGCGGCCGTGTGCGTACATGTATACCAGGTTCTGAAGGACCAGTGCATCAATACAAAAGTTGAACTGCAGAATTCAAGTGGTGGGGTTTGTGACTCGATGACTGGGGAGTCTCTTCAACGACGACTGAGGCCGACCTCAGGTGCGGCTCGGGGGCCAAGAAAGCGAGTGCCCTGAACGATTGCTGCGGAGGACCAAACCGCACAGGCACATCGAAGGCTCGACGAGCGGAAAATCAAGCAAGGAGCGACAAACATGAGTTCTGACACATGCCGCTGTTGCTCTTCCCTCTTGTCAGCCTTTCTTGTCGTGCAGGGTGATTCGATCCGAGGCCCCTATCTACTGTCTTCGTTGACCAGCCGGGCCGGGCCAGCGGCATGCACCATCCGCGGTGCAAACAAGGCGATTGTGCTCAATCGACCCTGCACAGGCGGACAATACCTCTTTTCCACAAACGGGGTCGTACGGCAGGTCGATAAGGCCCAGGCCGTAGGGTGCGATGCCGCGACCCGGTGGGTGGTGGCGACCGTTGGACACCACACGCATCGTCAGGTCGAG